TGCAACTTAATGTTAAATTAGCTGTCATAAAAACCTGTTATTTATACAAACATAATCCTGCTAGAAAAACCAGCAGAGACCGGCATGGATGGTCACCAGCAAAACCAGCAAATGTCTGTTTGGATGCTGGTCTGCTGGTCCACCATCATGACCAAGCTGGGTGACCATCTAGATGAACACTAGACCAGCATAAACCAGTTTAAACCAGCATGATGATCTGTGCTGTTTTTCCTCAGGGTTTTAAAAGCTCTTAGTGTGTAGAAAATGATCAGAAAGAGTCAAGTAGATTTATTTATTTTGACTTTATTTGCTCCCATATATGTACTTATGTAGTGTAAACAATACATTAAAGCAGTACATCGAAACCTGTTTTTCACACATTGCTGATAGTTTCCTGTGATCTCTCAGTTGTGGTTCTGGTTACCTAACTGTCCACATCAGGACACTTTGGTCTGCAGTGACATTAAAGACCAATAACACTGAGTTTAGCTTGATCTCAGGTAGAAACATAATAATGACACTTATAAAAAAACAAATCAGTCATTTCAGCTTCATTTACAGACAAATATACACCATATAAAACCCCCAAACACAGCACAGAGAGGCGGATTTAGTGTGAAGGCAGTGCTGCAGTTAAAGTTCAAGTTTAAATATCCTGTGCAGATTAAAAAATACATTAACCTTAATACAAAACCAAAAAAGTGTTACCCAGTTGAGTAACTCAAAAAACAAACAAACAAACAAACCATGCATCATCAAAACAACAGTGACTTCACAGGAGAAAGCCAAAATGACCATAACATGTAAGTTACTGTAAAGATTTAGATTTTGAAATGTTTCTTTCATTCATCATGAAATATTCACAACATAGTTTACAGTAAAGTATCGGTATAACAATATAACTGAAAATCATATCTGATAACTTCATATGCAGTATATGTAACAGTATGCTTGAACACACAAATACATCATTACCAAAACAATAAACAAAAAACAAACAAAATACATAAAAATATAATTAATAAAAAACAAAAACAAACTAAAAGGAAAAAAATGAAGTTTACATATGTCTGAGCTGATCTGGCTACATCACTGGAAATGATCTGATCAGAAAAACACTACAGCTAAAGTTCTGAGAGCTGAGACTGATCACAGTTCGCTCTGCTAGAGCACAGCTACACACCTTTCTGTGAGCTGAGTCAGGAACAAGGTTTACATCAGAACTAGGAGATAAACTGAGTGGTCTTTATTCTTAATGCAGGACTGTCACTAAAACAGGGTCCGAGATCTCACTGTTATAAAGGTTAAAGTAACAGTTATAGGTTAAAGGTTATAAACTCTTATTTTGACCTACAGCAGAAAGATGATCATTATTATTATTATATTAAAATCATAATTTGTAATCACGAGTTTCAAATGAACTGTCGCCTAAATGATCAATAACACTGCTCTACACCAGTGGTGTGGATTACTACAGCTAAATGCCTGAACATTTGGACCACAGCCCATTGTGAGTGAGTGTGAATGGGCGTGGCCCTGTGGTGGTAGTGGGCGGGGCAGTCAAGAGTAGAACTAGATATTCTGTAAAAGCTGTATAATGTAGAGTTTATTAATCTGAGACTGTAAAAAGTAAGGGATCATCACCAATCAGTAGATGTAGTTTATAATCAGACAGTATGAAGTGTTTAACTGTGGATTTTCCTCTTCTCTAAAATATTTCTCCATCTCGACCCCTGGAGGATTTTAATTATTCATGCTTTAAACCGTATATGAATGTTTAATTAAGTACATCAATCTGTAAATACTGTGCATTTTAATGCAAAGGACAGCTGTCAGGGTGACTAATCTACTTATTACATTTAGATTTACTTTAAAAACATTTGATGATATTCTTTATTTATTGTGTTTCTACTGTGTGTTTTCAACCACATTAGCTCACATTTACAGACTACTTACGATCCTCTGTTTAACGTGTAGAGGTTAGCAGTGTCTGCTGTTATTCTGGAAGTGGATCATTTGTCCTTCTATCAGGATCACTGAAGGTTCTCTGCAGCATCGACATGGTTTCACCAACATTCTCCACATTACCACATGGTAACCCACAACTTCTGGAACCTGAAAATCAACATGTTCATTGACATGTTAAAGTAAATAAACAGGTCAGTTCATTCTCTGAGAATCTGAAATAAAGATGAAATGCCTTCAAACGCCTGAAATGCCTCTGCTGTGTAAAGACTCTGTAGGATCCTCTAAAATACACACTCTGATACTCTTACAGTGTCACCATTAAAATCACCATTAAAAGATAAACTGAGCTCAGTGTGTTCAGATATTCATCCAGGAGAAACATTACCAGGGTGGGATGAATCATCAGAGTTCGATCCACTGATTCTCCTTCCTGAAACAGACACAGTCAGGCCACATCACAGCTGAGTTACAGTGGACACTCATTAATTAATTACAAATATCACTCATATTAAATGGTTTTAATGTGGAATATTATTACCTGAGTCAGTGTCAGAACAGCCAGCTGTAGAGACGAATAAAATAAAACATGCATTAAAATGACGTTTCTTGAACAGCGTAAATGCAGCCCACCAATTTCTACATCACTGGATTTCCATAAACTAGTTGGAGATTTATTTAAATGAAATGAAGTGTTAAGCTTAAAAAATGAGCTGTTGCTTTAAAACTGATGGACTGCATTGTGTAAAATCAGGCGTCTCATTTAAATGAAATGTGAGCATATCTGTACACACAGATATCTGTGTGAAAGAACAATCAGCACACACTAGAAAACGTATTTATCAAGTCCTATACTGATCTGCTGATGCACTCATTTACATAAAGACACGCCCATAAAAAGCTGTACGCAGCAAACAAACTCCCTTTAAAATCCCCAGCGGCCTCTGAATCAGAGGACAAGCTGAACTGAAATGTGGTGTCTAAAAAATTAGTTCTTACATGTAAAAACAAAACTTTCAATTTAATAAGTAAGAAAAATGAACGTTTAATATCTGAAATCTCTTGTAATAATTCAATTTCAACATGCAAAAATATTTAAATACAAAAATATCGCCTTCATTCATCTGAAGAACTATTTCACTTTGGTTCAGCTGATTTATTTACTGTTTTATACCACTGGTACCAAATTACATTTTTTTTACAGTGTAGAAATAGATAGATGATAATTAATGGGAGTCTGAGTATCTCGTAATGAGTTTACCTGTGATTACACTTCTCCACCACTAGGGGTTTCTGCATTCAGAGTCAGGATTAGGTCTAAATGCACACACATTCACAATCACTCACTCGTCTGCGTTGAGGCTTCTGTTACAGGTTTGATGTCTCTGAGCTGAGAGGACGAGCTGACCACGAGTTCAAACCACACAGTTCTAATGAAGCAGGAAGATTTTACATCACATCTGTATGAAAGTTCTTTGTAGATAAGCTGTGAAATTATCCACCCCATCAGCACAAAGTGCTGGCATTAATGTGTCTTTTAGTAAATCTGGCCCAGAGCGTCGTGTCCAGCTACACTGGAATATCTGGCCGGATCCAGGTGTCTCTGATTGCTGGTGTGCTGGAGAAATTCCTGTTGGTCCGTTCTGTAAACTACCTACTACATTTGGACACAGTCAGCACAGGAGCAGTGTGTAGTGGGTTATTTCAAACACAGACAGTCTTTCACTGAACATTTAGTGAAGGTAAATTCAGAATCTTTAAAAAAACCTGGCCAGTGCAGAATTTATGGCATAGTTTTGTATTTTATACTTTATTTTTTCCAGTAGTTTTAACTCAACAAGTACACAGACATTGTGCAGTAAAATGAGGAGAAATTAAATCTCAGTTAAAGCTACTAAATGCTTAAAGAAAGATCCTTCAGATGTAACTCTGTGAACTTCACAGCCTTTTTTCAGTTCAGTGACTGAATCTCTCTCAGAAAGTCACGGCTTGGTAAGAGAAGAACTGATTGAACTCATCAAGGTTTCAGATCAGACTGAAAAGACCTGCTGCACAGAACCATGCAGACGAGTCCTGATAGCTGTTATCAGCTCAGTGTGTAATAGATATCAGACGCTCTGTTTACATGTGGGCTGAGAGTCTGAGAGTGAGGCTGGGTCATAAACATGAATCAGTCACAGCGTCTCTCTAAGAGCCTCTCTGCTCACGACCAAATCACCAAGACATGCTGTTAAGGTGGGAATGGGGCCTAAATGAAGAGCTTTAATTTTGATCCCAGGAAAGTTTTCACTTTATTATCAATCATTTCCTACAGTTTTCATCTCAATACATTTCACATAAATCACCTTTACCTCAATCAATGAACACAGTATCGCAATTCATGAAAACAGTGTTTAGATTTGTTGTTGAATCCAGCAGTGAAACTCCATAATGTCCAGGAAACTGTGGAAAAAGGCTGTAACTGCCACCATCAGTCCTACCTGTAACGTCTCAAAAGAGAAAGAGAGATCAATACTCACTAGTAGTTGCCTCCACAGTTGCTGCTGGGCTCTGTTTCGTGTCTCTTTCTGCAACCACAGTGATGATGTACAAACACCCAGGTTCCAGACGATTAATCAGGGCAGAGTTTTTCCCAGACAGCACCTCAATCTGCTGACTTAACCCTCCTGATCCATTTGTCTGACTCTGTGAAACCATGACGATGTATCTGTCAATCTTTCCCGGTGGTCTCTCCCACTGGACCTCGAAAGATGTTGAGGTGGTCTCCACAACTTTGAGGTTTTTGGGCTCAGAGATCACTGAGAAAGAAAAAGGAGACTCAGTTATAGTTGCTGTTGAAAGGTTAGAAAGAGAAAAGGTGAGAAACAGAGAATGTCTGACTGAAAAAAGGAAAGCAGAATCGGTGCTGATTCTGTTAACAGAAATGACCATCTTTGTCCTAATTGGTGGAAATCAGGAACTGATGAAGATGAAAGTGACTGAAAGCTGCACAGAGATGAAAAACAAGTTCACTCAGCATTAACATCTCAGTAAATCTGACTAAACTACACTGCACTGAGTGAAATACAGTTAGGTTTAAAAACTGCAGAATTACGTATAGTTTATATACTCAGAATAGTCCGGGGAAACAGTGCTGTCAAAGTATCAGTAGGGCGATACACACTGATACTGAACGTTCTGAAACGGTACAATACTGGTTTCCCACAGGATCAGTACTGTTACTGTTCATATCTAATGTGCTTTCTTTTGACCCACAGAGGCTTCCTTAACTTTTGTTAGGTTTGTTGTGCTAAAAAGGCAGCTGCAGTGAGTTCACAGCCTTTGTGTCCAGTCTTTCACACCAGATACAGTAGCCGTGCACTGCTCCGTGCAGTGCGGGCAGTGCTCTCCTATAATAATCTTCATTTGTCTTACTTCACATTAATATTTTTTATTTTTAAAAACAGTACATTTAGTTTCAGCTATATGAGAATAAAAACACACTTCAGAATGTGTTCATCACTTTCAATAATTCAGTAATATTATTGTTACAGTGTTCCAGAGTTCACATACAGAATATGACAATCATGTGATCGTTTCTCAGCCAATCAGATTGTGCCGTCAGAACTAACTGTTGTCTAAATGAAGATTATTTTTGTTTGACCAAATTAAATGGAGGTTCATATTTAAAACTTTCTGCTTTGAACAGAATCTGATTAGAATCTACAGAACATGAACAGTTTATACTCACCAGCTTTCAGCTTCTTTTTCAGGATAAAGATGACGACTCCAACCAGCACAGTCAAAATCACACCTGCAACTGCTCCTCCAACAGCCAAACCCAGACCACCCTGAGAGTGAGAACGCTCTGCAGACGGAAAATGAAGAACAAAAATCTGAGTTACATTTTTTAATTCCCAAAAATACAAACAAAGAAAATGAACTGTAACAGCAGATCTGACTCTGAATCTAATGTCTGGCCTCCTTATCTTATTCTGATCTGAACTGCACTGTGCTCCTGAAATCTACTAGTGTTTCAGAGAAGGTCCAGAGGAGAACGGCTTCATTCCAAGAATGCAGAGCCCAGCAGAGCACCTGGAGGCCCAATACATCTTTACTGACCTGCCACCTTCAACACAGCCCAACACCTATTTGATCAAACAGCATAATCACACCAGAAGTGCTTTAGCTGGTTGATCTGGTGAACACTACATTCCACATCTACTGATTAAAGTGTGGAGCATTTTAAAGCCCCATATCATGATCTGCTCACTGCAGTTGAGAAGGTCATTTCTGGTCTAGTCTCTGTACATCTGCTACTCTGTTAAGCAGCGTTTACAGTAATATAAAGGAAACAATTACAGTAACAGTGAAAATCCAGAACATAGAATGACGTAAAATCTGCTAAGAATGCAGAGAATCATAAATCTAATTACCCCACTGTTTAATTACTGGTTCTGTGATGGAGCTGTGATTCATATAACAGTTGTAATCTGCTGTTTCGTCCTCCTGGATCTCCACACTCTTCCTCAGCTGGTAGGTTCCATCATCATTGGGTCTGACTCCTGAAGATCTTAGTAGATGTTCAGGCAGTGAAGTGGTGAACTTCCTCACACTCATCTTCACGTCTTTGGGGTAGAAGCCCGTGGCCAGGCAGGTCAGGGTCAGCTTGGTTGAGTCAGTTACAGGTTTCTTCACAAACACATGAACATCTGGTGGAGCTACAGAAGAAATAAAAAAGACATGAACTCCTCTGTGACATCTAATCACACCAGTCACTGTTTCTGTTCAAGCTACCACTCACACCAGTGCTTCAAACAGCAGGATGAATGTGAGGGACGGCAACAGTGACCTAAACAGGAACGGTCACGTTACCTAGAACACCGAAAACCAGCAGTCTTGAACACACGCAGATCTTTCTCTGTATCTAATGGTGTTTTTCAGTCCAGATCACTGACAGACAACAAGCTTTCAGTGGTGTGTGATGAAATTTTTGTCTGCTGCACAACCTCTAACAGCACACGTCGACATACTGACTCATGGTGCGGTCCATTCAGGAGGCTACTGTCCTAAATTCAGTCCTAACTGAGGTTTTCAGGTAAGATTTCAGAGTCAGGATGTTTCTGTAATACAAACTCTGCAAGACATATTTCCTAAATTTAGACAAGATTTTCTTCTATGAATTTGTGAAAATCTTATTTTGACCTGTCAGATCTTCACTTAGGACTAAAGTTAGGAGTTTTCTGTAATATTAGTGTTGAATTCTCTTGTTTGGTGCAGACCTTCGTAAAAATGGGTTTCCCCCCAGCAGTGAACTGAACCAGGGCTCTAATGGAAGCAGACTTGTGATTGTTGGTGGTCCATAGTTCAGCTGTTTGGTGGAGACCCAAGTCCAGGTAGAGCTTTCACACCTGACTAAACAAACTGAACTAAAGAAAGAGTTTGATTGGTCCACACCAATCAGGGTGGGTGTGAAAATGCCCTAAATTAATCTCTAAAACCTACACAAATCTGTACCAACCGGAAAATATAAGGGAAAAGTCACTTTAGTACTTTCTTTAAAAATAAACAGCCACTCACAGTAAACATCATGTAAAAGGCCTGTCAGTCTCCCTGACTTTGAACAACACAGACAGTTACAGTGAGTAAAATGAATGGCTGATTGAAAACCAGAAACTAACCAGTAGAACCAGTTCAGAAACAGCTGCTTTAAAATACATTTTACTCTAACAAACCCAGCTCACAGTGCACCTGTACCAGGTATACAGTGTTCTTAATGACAGTTCAGGCGTGTTTGAAGCTGTGTTACAGCAAAAATGTGGACCAGCTGGGGGTCCCTGGGGGCTGGTTTAAGAAGTTTGATGATCATGAGAATGACAGTTATAAACACTCACTCAGTTTGGTTTCAGTAGTGCTGTACTTTAAATACGTCTTCATCCTGTGCACACACTCCTCACATCTCTGATCAACAGGTCCAGCGTTCCACTCCTCCTCCAACGCTTTAGCCTGACTGACTGAGGCTGACCATCTCCTCGAGGTCCAGTTATAAGAGATTAAGTTCTGTCCATCGTAGCCGTATTCATTAGTGCAGTTTAACACTGACAGCGAACCACCAGAGTGCTTTTGTACCTCACAGCCGACTCTCCACTGCAGAGTGTGACCATCTGAAACGTAAATGAAGAACAGAGACCAATATAAATGATCAGACACTCTAACATTTCATGTTTTAACAGAATGTGACTGTTTTGTTTGTGTTTGTTAGTAGGTACTTATTTAATGCCACACTTTGTGAGAGTGAAAGGCTCACTACTCTCTCTCTTTTCAGAAACAGTGACAATATATTTGTCTGACAGACTAACATGGTGCATCATCCACTGAGGAGGAAAGACCTCCTGGAGAAGACGACGAGTGCTGTGTTGTAGCGGTTAGCTCATCTGAAGAGGCAGCCTCCAGTACTCATCCAGCACCGAGACACACTGATGTCCCTCAGTGTCCCTCAGCCTTTTTTAATTTTAGCGTGTTGTCACCTACACAAGTAAGACTACAGCTCTATTTTAATGTTGAGGGTCTTTTTTCTTTTCCTTTTACATAGAATATCAGTTCATGGAATATCAGTTAATGGAATATCAGTTAATGGAATATGGGTTAATGGAATATGGGTTAATGGAATATCAGTTAATGGAATATCGGTTAATGGAATATGGGTTAATGGAATATGGGTTAATGGAATATCAGTTAATGGAATATCGGTTAATGGAGTATCGGTTAATGGAATATCGGTTAATGGAATATGGGTTAATGGAATATCAGTTAATGGAATATGGGTTAATGGAATATGGGTTAATGGAATATGGGTTAATGGCATATCAGTTAATGGAATATCGGTTAATGGAATATCGGTTAATGGAATGGTTAATGGTGTATCGGTTAATGGAATATGGGTTAATGGAATATGGGTTAATAGAATATGGGTTAATGGAATATCGGTTAATGGAATATGGGTTAATGGAACATCGGTTAATGGAGTATCGTTAATGGAGTATCGGTTAATGGAATATGGGTTAATGGAATATGGATTAATGGAATATCGGTTAATGGAATATCGGTTAATGGAATATGGGTTAATGGAATATCGGTTAATGGAGTATCGGTTAATGGAGTATCGGTTAATGGAATATGGGTTAATGGAATATCGGTTAATGGAATATCGGTTAATGGAGTATCGGTTAATGGAATATGGGTTAATGGAATATGGGTTAATGGAATATCGGTTAATGGAGTATCGGTTAATGGAATATGGGTTAATGGAATATCGGTTAATGGAATATGGGTTAATGGAATATCGGTTGATGGAGTATCGGTTAATGGAATATGGGTTAATGGAATATGGGTTAATGGAATATCGGTTAATGGAGTATCGGTTAATGGAGTATCGGTTAATGGAGTATCGGTTAATGGAAAATGGGTTAATGGAATATCGGTTAATGGAATATCGGTTAATGGAATATCGGTTGATGGAGTATCGGTTAATGGAATATGGGTTGATTAACTCTTACAGAGAGAACAGCACTAGATCTATCCTAGTCTGGAGCCATTTCAATGTGGGAGCGTTTCACTGAATTCTGAACATGACACTGAAGTGAATCTTTCAAATGAAGAATGATCATCTAAGCAGAACATAACTGTAAATCTCTCTTTCTCTGCACGAACATCATGAAATTAAAAATAAAAAATAAATTAAAATAGAAAGTTCTCACCTGACTCATCGTGTCTGAAGGCCTTCATCTGAATGTCGAGGATCTTGTTTAAATGTTGTCCATCGTACTTCAGTTTATCAGCGCCTGCTGTCCACTCACTCTCCTTCATCTCCTTCATCCAGTCCTGTTTAGGAGTCCTGACCCCGTCTGTACTGCTGTAGGAGTCAATCTGTCTGTCATCCAGCAGAGTCACTGCACTGAACTCAGAGACTCTGTCTGAAGAGCTTTTAGACTGGACAGTGTAGAGGTAACACAGAGAGTGTTCATCTGTGGAGAAACAGAGAAATGAAAGATTAGATATTAAACAATGACTTGATTACAGTAAATAAGGACAGAGTTGATTGGATTCCACGTTTGTTGGAGGAAGCTGATCAGACACTAAACAGGGCCTCTTTCACTCCTTTAAGACTACATTATCACTATCAGTCTCAGGAAGAAGCACAAACCTGTCACTGAGGTACATTTTCAGTTACTTTAGTACAGGAGACATAACTGGTATAAGAGCTGGTTGCTAAGTTGTCGCTAGTAGGTTGCTATAGTTATAAGAGCTGGTTGCTAAGGTGTCGATAGCTGGTTGCTATGGTATAAGAGCTGGTTGCTAAGGTGTCGCTAGTCGGTTGCTGGGGTTAAAATTGTAGCGTAGGCCCACCTTAATGGTGGAGAGCAAAATTCTGTTGAAAGGGGACTCAACTCAAAACAAACAGGCCTAAACCACGACAGATCGTCTCCTCCACTCCCACCACAACATTTTATCATTTAGATTTGAGAAAAGTCTCTGTTTCCTCTGTTAGAGCAGCTCTGATCTGAACTCACTGATCTGCCCTCCATCTATACCTGCTCCTGATCTGATCAGCTCACTATCAGCTCCTCACTGAGTGACGGAGGGTCTGATACAGCAAAGAGAGCTCAAAACTGACGGGTCGAGGATCCAGGAACACAGAAAAAACACTGCTGTAGAGAAAACAGGAACTAAACCTGTTTTTCGCCTCCTGCTCTGCTCTGACTCACTGGAAACATGTCTTGTGGTGTCCCAACACTCCACCAGAGATTCTCTGACATAGGAGGAGATCTAGTTACAGTCATATTATAAGGAATGCCGAGCCTTATCAATACAATTACTAATAAACTTATTAGACTTATTTTTCAAAATGACTATCACTGACTAAAAGAGAGGGTAATGAGTTTGGTAATGAGGTCTGAGGCACCTCTACCCATTCTCAACACCTGATCAGGGATGCTCTTAAGCAGTGAGCTGTAATGTTTTCAGGTTCTACATTTATGGCGGAGCTCCACATTAGTTAAGAGATCACCTTCATCAGTTAGTAAGTGTGCTATCGGCCGTTTCCTCTTAGCAAACCAGTCCTGATAAAAACTTTAGAGAAAAACAAAACAAAAGCAGTTTCATGTTCCTCTGCTCTCTGCCCCTCCCCTCAATCAGGAAGTGCTGGGTGCTGACTTCCTGATTAGAGAAACGGGCCATTAATGTCCAGCAGTGGGGAAAGGGCCAATTAGTGCCCAGCACTAATTTCCTAAATGAGGGGAGGGGCAGATGGCAGAGGAACAGATAACTGCTGTTGTTTAGTTTTTTCTCTAAAGTAGTGTTTTTCTGGATCCTCATCCTGGTCAGTTTAGCTTCTCTCTGCTCGATCAAACCCTCTTTCACTCTGTAAGGGGTGTTACTGAGCTGATTAGTCAGACCAGGCTTGGCAAATACTTCTAAAACAATTATATTGAATTGACTCTGTTTGCACTGATTGACCAGACTTCTCTAGCAGGTGTTAAACTGACTGGAGGTTAAAGTGTTTGTCTGTAGCACAGATGTTTATGTTGCTTGTATAAAAACATGATTTTTGCAGCTTAAATATTTTTAAAATTATTTTGCCAAATCCAAAATGTGTAGGTTGTGCCCCGCTGTCCCCTACTGTGAGAACTGTGGAGGATTTTATATCCTTTATTTAGTCTGGACTCCCACATTGTTGTGTGGGTGATTCCCCCACAGTTCTGGACTCATCCTTGAATTTCAGTCTCAGCAACTAAGACAAAGATACAGTGCCACACCTTTCAGTGGTGATCTAAAGTCATATGAACGCCTGTGTTTCTGAGGTTAGCAACTGTCTGTTAGGCAGTAGCCAGTGTTTACACACTTCTGTTTCTTGTGGATTTCTTTTCAGCCTTCTGTCCCTCCCTCACTCAGGAAGTTTACCGTGCAGGGAGGAAAGGAGAAGTCTGTTTTTTGCTGATACACAAAAGCAGAACACTCGCTCTTGAAATGCCTTTTTTGGTAATATGTGGTGGTGAAGACACTCTGTGTCACTTTACTGTGTGGATTACTTGCTTCTACTCTGGGTCCTCAAGGTGAGTATTTTATTTCAGATGGATGATAAAAGTAAAAAATCATATATTCCCAGTAGTAAACTGTGCTGAATGGAGCAGTATTCTACAGTATAGTCTTTAAGTCATGGGCAGACCAACTATCCACAACTGTTGGTGAACTTCAAATGTAAGTGAAACTAAAACATTCTAAAGTGGTCGTTTCTGATAATGTATTAATAACATATATCAGTTCAGAGTTTAGTGTTTTATGAATGTGAAATTGAACGAGTTTCTTATTGGCGACACATTGAGTAGTTGTGTTTTTTGTATTCTCTAGCCTTGCTGTGTATCATGACTCGTCTCCGATGTCCTCGATTGATGTTGCGCTTCTGACACTCTAATTCTGGAAATTCTGTGACAGTTGCTTAAAAACTGCTACTGTAGAATCACGTTATATTTCAGATGAGCATCAAATGATGGACTCTGAACTGATAACCGTTGAAGTTCACGTATGTATAAGTTTTAAATTAAGTTTAAATTGTACACCTCATACGTCGGCAGTATAATATATTCTGAACTGACATCTGCTGGTTTTATGGACTCCTTATTAGAAACGACTAGGGGTGTGAATCTCGAGGCACCTCACGATTCGATTCGATTACGATTCAGAGGCTGTGATGCGATTATAAAACGATTATTGATGCGTCTCGATGCACCTTTTTTTCTACACAGGATTTCTGTTTTTATCACTGTGTGGGGTCTTGGTACTTCTAAAGTATTTATAATAGTCCACGATGCATTTACTTCCAATATCTTTTATTAATAAATCAAATGGAAGTGATGTGGCAAATGAACTGGAAGGCTCTCATTTACTGCGCATGTTTGGAGCACATGAGACGCTGCTGCCACTCATCTGCGATAAAACGCGCAGTTATGGTGAAATAAGATCCTGTGACAATGGATGTCCACACACCCGATTACAGCTATTCTACCCGTTTTCTTCACTGATTTCATAACTTAAGTCTTGGTGTTGTAATAGAGAGTACGGGGGGTGGTGGGGGGTTGCAGAGTCAGCAGTGAAATATCTGTATCTCAGCTCCTAATTGTGCAACATAGCGCGAAAGCCCTGGTTCTCAACAATGAGAATGGATGAAAATCCTTGGCAATAAAAGTTGTGACAGAGTTTGTAGTTCACTAGTTCACTTCGTCCTGTCCGAGTTGGGTGGAAGCTTTGACATTGTCAAATACGGAATATGGTTTTCCCCTTCAGCTCCACAGAAGACAAAGTGCTTCCATACACTCGCTCAGGGGTCAGCAAACTGCGGCTGTTTTACTGACCAAACAGAGTTTTAACAGTAAATGGTCTTAAACGCTGGAGTTAATGTAGCGTATAACCACTAGTTCACCTGGTGAGTAGCTAACGAAAAGGCAGAGAGAAAGATCTGAGATGAACATCAATAATTTGGAGACGAATATATGTTTATAATCACTCCTGGTTTCCTGATACGTTTTCATCTGCAACGAGGAACTGTTCAACACAGACAAACGTGAAGTCGCTTCTCATTCACCAGCTTGTTTGAATTCACCTGTTCCACCTTAAATGGTGTAGCAGTTACATTCTGGCGCCTCAGTGAATGAGAAGCGACTTCAGCCTCGTAAAGAGTCAAACGTTGAGAAACATTTCGCAAAAAAATGATCTACTTTTGTGGAAAAGTTTCCTGCTGGAGATGCGAGAAAAGCGGCTACAGCTGAGCTAAAGCTTAAAGCAGAGCAAAGTAAATCTGCGTTTTTGTTTATATAATATTTTTAGCCTGTACTAGAACATCAGCATGTGCTGAGACACATACAACCAAGATGGTAAATGGACTCAAAATGTTGTGGCTCCTAAGGTGCTTTGATTTTTGTTGAAAGGATAAAGTGACTCTTATTACCATTTGGGTTGCGACTCCTGCACTAGATTTTAATGTACTGTGCTGCCACAGACTGTCCGGGCGCTGCACTTCCACACTTTGCAAATTTCTGCATTTTGTGTTCCGTCAACATTACGTTATCAATCAAAATGTAGAAAATCGATTTTTGACATTTGTGAATCGATTCAGAATCGTCCACGTCCGGATCACGATGCATCTAAGAATCAATTTTTCCCCTCCACCCCTACAAATGACCATTTATAATGTTTTAACTTTTACTGTTTCTTATAAAGTACATTTCTTGTAAAATCTAAAATATTTTTAGGATTTTGGCTGCCATTTACTTATAAATGCAACAGTAAAATTACTTCATAAGTTCACAGTATTGTGAACTTTGAACTGACATCTGTTGGTGTTATGGACTACTTATTAGAAATTACCATTTTATTATACCTTTAGATTTACTTATAATTAAAATATGCAGACAATTGTAGGGAAATTGACTAATAATAATAATAATAATAATAATAATTGTATGATAGAATCACTTCATAATTCATATAAACATAGCATAATAACCTCTGAACTGATATCTCTTGGTTTTATGAACTACGTATTAGAAATGACTATTTTATAAGGCTGTGAATTTGAGTTCTGATAGGAAGTGAGGTTTTTTCCTCGGGTCTGTGTGTGGCGTGACTCTGTGTCGCGTGTGTAGTATTACCACACTCAAGAAAGCTGGTTTGACTGCAGTATTTAGTTCCTGTTTTACCTGATGTTACTACATTTAAACACCACACAGTGTTATATTTTCTGTACTGTGGGGAATCTTTAGGTGTGACACATCAAAGCTTTAAAAGTTGCCATTCTCGGCCTTTAATGATGACAAACGCCCCATATCAGACCATGTCCAACAATACAGTAATAATATACTCCTAGTTTATGTCGAAGTCTGACTCGCTAAAAGTGAAACTAACTCCTCAGCTAATACTGTTTTGTGTCTGTGCTGTTATCCGGTGTCAACCAGAGGAGGATGGGTTCCCCTTTTGAGTCTGGTTCCTCTCGAGCTGCTAGGTGGCAACATCTGTTGTAAAAGGCGCCATATAAATACATTTGACTTGACTTGACTAATACAGACGCAGACCGAGAACTTACCTCCAAAAACATCTGGAAGAAAACAGAACATCAACAGCAGTAAAGACGTATGAAACATTGTCAGCATTATTTCAGAGTATATTACAGAGATTAGATCAGTAAACATGAAATACGTCTCGAACTGAAATCCACATTAACTGTGACTTGTTCACCGAGTCGACTCTTTGAAATTGTGTTCCGTACCCACCCTGATTTCACTTCCTGAGGACCCTCGGCCAGAGTTAGCAAGTTAGCATGTTTTCATCATCATGCCAGCCAGTACAGTTATATATAAACGTTATGGTTTAATCCAGTTGTGTGTCGCTTAGTTGTGCTTGCTTACGAAAGTATTGAAGTTTACAAAAAGTCAGGCAAATACGCGTCGACCTATGCCTTTAGAGGGTCCTCCCACAGATGCTGACTGACGGCGGTGAGACGTAAGAGTCATCCAATAACACTGCGAATCTCATAACCGGAAACCAGATGAAGTAAGATCAGAACGGGGAAGTAGGATTGGGCACCACACCGAGGTCTGAGTCGACTCTCTGATCCGGCTCTTTTAAGTGACCGCTGGGGGCCGACTCAGACGTAAGAGGAACCGTTTACAGTTTGTGTTTGTTCGTGTAAAATGTGGACAAACAGATCTGCTGACGCTCTGTCGTTGAAAACTCATCAGTCTTTCTTGGTTCAGTTGTTTACTATGTGAACAAAATCATTCAGAGTGGTTTGGTGTGAAATGTTCTGTTCTAGAGAAACTTCCTGTCTGAGTTGTTCACAGTGGTGGTGAAAGGAACCTGATATCCTTTTTATTTTCAAATTTACCACTTTTTTACCATCAACATTCCATATAACACTCAGAAGACCCACATAGCTTCACTGATGGTTTTATATAGTCAATAAAATGGCTATATTTTGTGTTGTATACATGGTGACCCCATGGTGGGGGCCCAAAGTTGGGAACTGTCCAATAGGAATGTCCCTCTCTTTTCCTCTTAGACAGGTGTGACTTACCTGGCTAAACTGAGAAATACTGCTTTGTGAGACCACTGTAACGAAATCTGAACCATTTCACACCAAACCACTCTGTTTACATCTCAGAGGATCTCTAAAGAGTTCCTCTTTACGAGCAGTGCAGTGGCGTCTTTGGCACAGAAAGCCTGGTGGGCTACAATAAACTGTAGGGGCAGCAGCGACTCGTCAATGAAGCTACATACAAACCTGATCAAACACAGACGCACTTCATCAGTGACATCACACATTCACTAATTAACGTAACGGTGCAGGGTTACAGAACATGGAGACAGGAATATGAGTGATATGATAACGACATTAGATCTCTCAAAACCTGGTTATACAGCATCACAATACAAATCCACAGTAATCTAGCAGTTTAAGATCAGCACAAAGAGTGTTTTTAACTGCTCACTTAGACGAGCGCTGACGGCCCCACGCTCACCAAACCAAGACTGACAGGAGAAAAAGGGAGTATGTATAGGACAGACCTACCATTATATATTAGTTATACTGAATTATTGATCATGTCGTGCTCCTGAGCAGCCCTGCCTTGTATGTTTGTGTCTTCCTGCTTCGACAGACCCACTTCAGCTCAGGAAATCCCTGTTTATTAACTAATTAGCTGATTGAAGTTCGTTACAGCAGAGAAAACACTGAAATAAGGCGTCCTTTACAACACAGTCCTCCACTGATATCAGGACTATTGGCAAGAAAGCAAATACTGTACTTCTCTGACGAACACTGTGTTCTTATCAGTGTTTGTACCACAGCGATTACGTTCTGCTGTAATTTTGTAGTTTATAATTTAAGACGGTACGTGAGTGTGTGACACACACAGACTGACATTCCACTCGTTTTTTCCCCTCCTTTCTCTGTTTGTCATCCACTTCATTAAAATGTATGACAGTCAAATGAATATGTGGTCATCCTGAACAACACTACCCATGATGCAGTGTTCTATAGGAGTTTAAAAGTCTGGGATACCGTCAGAATGAAATTACAGAAGGAAGTGTTGGAGCATATGGCTACACTGCAATGACAACATTTCTAAAGCTCTGCTTACTTCATGGTGCATTTATAATCTTTAATATGTGTTTATTACTGTTTACACGCTTAATTATCAATGACAGAACTGCTGTGGCTAATGGGGCTTTGGGCCTGATAGAGATATTAGAATCTGATCATCTTAATAAGAGAATCCACGTTTGAAGTACTGTGAACATAATTCTCTACAGACGATCAGCTACTAAAACCAATATCAGGCCCATAATTCCATTCTAACATTTGTTGACAAACAGTATATCAGCCACTGATCTCATGTAACCCTAATAATTTTCACATTAGCATTCGGTTGATATGATTTTAAACCATCTATATTGGCATTCGTAATGAAATGCATAACCTCAACCAGCACTTCTGCTAAAGCACCCTTTCATCTCTTTCTCTCTTTTGAATCTGTCTTAGTTGAAGAGATTGATAAGCAGAGCATCCTTATATTGGACGATGCTCCCACTGGCAGCGCTGGGTCCTGTAATAGGTCTGAGGCTGAAGTTAAAGTAGAATGAGGTAAGGTGGCCGAATTCACGTGGGGTGAACCTGTTTTAAATGTACGACTGCTGGGTGTAATATTGGTCATCTGTTTGCCCACGTCAGTGTCACTGCAGTGCTGAGAATGACCCACCTCCCAAATAATACCTGCTCTGTGAGGGTCCATGGGGGTCTGACCACTGAAGACCAGGGTAACACAGTATCAGAGAAACAGATGGACTACAGTCTGTAACTGTAGAACTACAGAGTGAAACTATATGGTCAGTGGAGCTGACAAGATGGACAGTAAGTGTAGAAACATGGAGGTGGACTTGTGTGTGTGTTTGTGTAAAAACACAATGTTCTGCCACTATAAAATAACTGATGCTGTGTTTGTTTGTATTCACCACAGGTTGGTTCTAATATGGTGGAGTTCCTGTCTCAGACAAAAGTCAGCAGACCTGATCCATTAGTTTCAGCTGTAGCAGATGATCCGTCTTTTGCCGTCTTTAACAGACGAGCTGTGGAGCAGGGCGGACGTGTTGGAGCGGCTGACGTCTGTTTCAAGGCATTCTTTGTACGTTGTAATGTTGAAATTGTAACTGGGAATCCAGTGCTGACAAATGTTTGTTATTCTTAAATGCACTGCTGGTGTTTGCAGTTATCAGAAGTGTTAATTGTGATATTTTACTGATGTTAATTGTAAAATGGATGGTAAATAACATTTTAATATGAATATATAATTATTATTTATACATTGTTTTATATATGCAGTATTTCCCATGTTACACTCAGTGGATTTTATGTAATTAATATGCTCTGTATATAAATATATAAATAAATCACTACATTTTGGTGGTTAAAAGTGATGTTTCATTTTTATGAATAGTTATTCAAATTTAGCAACCGAAGAAAACAACCCAGCCTTTGGTTCATTTAACCCAGCAATACAGTAAAAAGTACACAGCTGTTGGGTGAATTGCTTGACCCAAAAAGCTGAGTCTGAATAATAACCCAAGATGCTGGGTCAGTCCTACCCAGTGCTGTTTGTCCAATATTGACCCAGCACTGGGTTATGAAAATGACTCCATCTTTTTTATTGTAACACACGTCACACAGAGAGAGAGATGTAGATGCGTCCCTCAGTGCACTTATGAAACCTAAAAGCAAAATGATAAAAACTGTGTCACAAATGTTTACAATATAACTGTAATTTTTCATCTTTGTTACTAGAAGGTTTCCATTTCAGACTTAACTAGGCTGATGGTGATGTTGCGCTCATTCTTGTCAGTAAGGTTCTAACAGTTTTGCTTGTAGCTGTAGTTTGTTTGAGTGTGCAGCCTGATGCTGACAATAGTGCAGTCACGCCCCCTTGTGGTGAAAAAGCAGAATAGCAAGTCTGAATACACATCAACCAAAATACTGGATTTCCAAAAACACAACCAGCAATTCACTATAAAGCATGCACCCACTCACCACAAGCACAACGTGTACCCAATGAAGACGACATAACAGGGTTAAAACATAACTGAGTTGAAACACAAGTGAATTAAAATCAGACAGATGAGACACAGCACACTTAAACGCAAACCTAATAATCCTAGGCTAAAGCATACCGCCACTGCAGGGATAGAAGATTTTGACATAACCCATTTTAGCTTTCTCAGACCACTGACAGCTACAATGTTTTCAAAATAATTTTTTTGGCTTTGAAAATGCAGAAAATGAGGTCAGCATCTGAAAGATGATAATAATAAGGTGAATAAGAATAAGAATAAAAACAAACATTTTTATATTGAAATTGTGATTTGAAATCTGAAGAGAAAATGAGGTCAGCATCTGAAAGATGATAATAATAAGAAGGCGAATAAGAATAAAAACAATCATTTTTATATTGAAATTGCGATTTGAAATGACAAGAGCTTGAATTTTAAGATTGGCCTACATTACCATCAACACTGCCTAAAGAAGTTTCAGTTGGGGACGTTTAACCTAATAACACTGAGCTTGTGAAAGAAAAAAAAAACAATCCTGGACCTGAATGTAAAGAAAACACTGTTCAAACTGCACTTATAAAATTGTATTTCAAGACCTTAACAGTTGCTTAGCAGTGATTAGAGGGTTGAGAACAGAGCAACCGGTCAATTGGATGCTAACTCTCACATTCAGGAATGATGCGGGAGAGGGTCATGATTTTGACTGGTCATAATACAGTGAAATCACTCACATTAAACAAATCAAATTACATTATCTTAAAGATAAAGTACAGATAAAGTGATCCTTGTTAGTCCCACAATGGGGGAATTTCATCTCTGCATTTGACCCATCCGTGCAGTGAAACACCACATACACACTAGTGAGCACACACACTAGGGGACAGTGAGCACACTTGCCCGGAGCGGTGGGCAGCCCCATCCCTTAAAATGCAGATGAATAAATATTCTCTCATCATTTGATTGGTTGGGCTGTGATTAGGTAGATCCAGTTCTACAGGGTCTACCTGTGGCTTCTCCCTGCAGCACATACAACAATCCAGTTCCACACAGTTTATTAACCCCTCTCAGATTCTGCTATCTGTCTAAGTGAACCAAACACAGAAAACTGAACAGAGAAAACATGTGTGATCATTTTCACTGAGTTTGGGTAAATTACTAAAAACCTATGAGGAAAAAAAAGTGTTGATAATTATGAAAAGTTATTGACTCATTACACAAATATTATTATTTGTGAGTACAGATTGTAATATATAATCTGTATATATAATCTATACCTACAGATTTGTAACTGTTCTTTACTTTTTACAATCTGTGACCTCAGTGTAAACTTTAGGCAGTTTGTTGACATCAACAACATATTAATAAATACACAATAAACACAGCACTGGACAACACAAATATCAGTTATACACATTCTGCTCACATCACTGAACTATTTTGTTCACACTATCCTGGAAAAGGCCTGGCTTATCCTCCTCCTACATCAGTGCTACTGATGCAGAATCATCTGAAAACCTAACATCCCCAGTGTTCAGTTCATTTGTGAAGGGTTATCCTTAATAAAGAATGGCTTACTGTGGTTGTGTGATATGCTGATCTATTTCTCATAGTCTCCCACATCTTTTTAGGGTTACCAGCCCTAAACACCTCCACCAAGCATTGTTTAAGCATATCTCTAACATCCCTCACTTCACTTCTCAAACATACAGCTGTCAAACAAATAACATAACAGATTGTTAAAAGTCACGCAAGTTATTATTATTATAAATGGAGAGTACGGAGTGCTTAATTGTGGTCACAGATTTTCTGTTCTACAAAGATATTTCTTGGTCTTGACCCCTGAGGGACTCTGAACACCATAAGTTTAGTTATTCATACTTTCAACTGCTTATGCGTTTTCATTATGTAAGTACATGAATGTGGAAAGACTAATGTAAACTTTAATCTGTAAATTAGAATGTAAAAGTCAGTTAACAGGGTGGCTGCTGTGTGGAATTACAAATAAACTCATCAATGTATTACAGTACTCTTTAGTTCTTTAAGTATTGGATGGTATTTTTACTCTATTTCTACTCTACATATTTGAGCACATAAGCTCACATTTACAGACTACTTTAAAGTGGAAAGACTAATTGAAATGGAAAGTGTGTAGAGTTTGAACAGCTCAGCAGTTCCTGCCGTTCCTCTGACACTGAACTGTTTGCCGATTAGGATCACTGAATTGTCTCTGCAGTATCGGGGTGGTTTCATCAGCATTCTCCACTCTACCCTGTTGTGACCCACAGCTTCTGGAACCTGAAAATCAACATGTTTATTGACATGTTAAAGTAAATAAACAGGTCAGTTCATTCTCTGAGAATCTGAAAGATGAAATGCCTTCAAACACCTGAAATGCATCTGCTGTGTAAAGACTCTGTAGGATCCTCTAAAATACACACTCTGATACTCTTCCAGTGTGTTTTCACCAAGACACTACAGACATTTAAAAGCTAAATTTGTGTGAAGAGAGTCCAGTTTTTCATTCAGGAGAAACATTACCAGGAGATGCATCAAAGTAAGCTGTACCTTTTTCAGTGTTGCTCCTGTTCGATCCACTGATTCCCCTTCCTGAAACAGAGTCAATAAGACCACATCACAGCTGAGTTACAGCGGACAGACATTCATTAATCACTAGGATTACTTACTTTAAACAGGTTTAATATAGAATGTTATTACCAGAGTCAAAAGCAGAGTCAGAACCACCAGCTTTAGAGATGAATAAAATATGCATTAAAATGGAGACAGATTAATGAGAGCTAAATTTCTTGACCAGTGTAAATGCAGCCCACCAATTTATTAATCACTGAATTGCTTTCTAGAAACAATTCTGAGATTCAATTCATTTAAGGCTTTAAGCTTCAAAAATACGCTGTTGCTTTAAAACTGTTGGTTTGGATTGTGTAAAATCAGGGGTCTCATTTAATAAAACGCCTTTAGAGCATGTTCTTTATCTGTGTGTAAGAACTACCAGCACACACTAGAGAACTGGCAATTATCAAGTCCTATACTGATCTACTCACACGCTCATTTACATAAAGATACACCCTTAAATAGCCAAACACAAACTTAAACTTAAGTGTTTGGCTATTTAATTTAACTTAAACTCCCTTTAAAAATTCCCTCTAAATCAGAAGACAAGCTGAACTGAAATGTTGTGTCTAAAAATGAGTTCTAACATGTAAGAAATAGGAATGCTTTATTATTGAATTATCTTTTAAGAATTCAAACTGAACATGCAAAAGTATTTTATTGTTAGTAGTATAATAAATGATTTAATATGAAAAAATATTGCCATCATTCTGAAGTATTATTTTACTTTGCTTTGTTTCAATACGTTAAGTAATTCTTTAGGCTGAACCAGTGAAGCTGGTCTACAGTGTATGAGCACAATAATCACCAGTCATTCAGTCAGTTATGCTGAAATGGATGATAATAAATGGGAGTTTAGGGATTAGGGAGACGGGATTAAAATGTGTGTATGCTTGGTTGATAAATGAGAGCCCTGGTAAAGTGAACCAGATCTCACTGTCTTTTTTGGAAAGCACTTCTGCAGGAAACATTTTACCCAGAATCAGATCTGTGTCAAAATCTGCTGTATCACTTTTTACTGTAAATGTGTCTTAATATAGTCTTAAAAATGTGTTCTTTGTATTGGACGTACATGCTACTGTTGATTTCCTGCACTTTTATTAAGATGTAAAAATGTATTACAAAGTTGTATTACAAGTAGCAAAGATTTGCTATTTTGTGCTTGACTCCGGGCACTAGTGGTAAGATAAAAAGAAATTGTTGGCATTTAATTTAATGATATGATGTATTTTGGCACTGAGAATTTGGTAAATGCAGCTTTGACTATTTCTTTAAAATGAACCCCTGGCCTTTAGCTGCTCTGGATGCTCTAGACTTTATGCTCTCTGCGTCACATCTCCTGCCAAGGACGCCTCCTCTGCCTGTCCCTTTCACCTGCAGAATCACTTGAGTGCTTGGACTGTCTAGAGGACTCCAACTCCCATGAGTCATTGGGAGATCACAAGACTCTCCACCCATCTACTAATGAACATTCATTCCAGTGCTACTCCTCACCAGAATGATAGTTGTCACACCTGTTTGTCATTTCATTACATTAGATAGATAATATAAAAGCCCGGGCTTTAGTTTAGTTCATTGTGAAGTAGGGGGGCGGGAAAAAATCGATTCTGAGATGCATCGCGATGCGGACGTGAACGATTCTGAATCGATTCATAAATGTCAAAAATCGATTTTCTAAATATTTAATTTATAACGTAATGTTAACGGAACGCAAAAGGCGGAACTTCGAAGTGGGTAAGTGCAGCGCCCGGACGGTCTGTGGGACACATAACAAAAACACAGCTGGATGAGTGAGAAATCCGACCGGCTCCCTCTGCATTAAAGCCAGGTTAGGTCAGGAGTCACAAGAGTCACAACCCAAATGTTAAGAAGAGCCATTTTGTCCTTTCAACAAAAATCGAACCAGCTTTGGAGCCACAACATTTAATGTCCAGTGTGTGTCAGTATGTGTTAATGTCCTAATATAGGCAGCCCTCTGAATCGTAATCGAATCAAATCGTGAGGTGCCTAGAGATTCCCACCCCTGCTGTGGAGTATTGCCAACTCCTGTATATGTGTATGACCTGTATTTCATGTTTTTGACCTCTCCTTTTGTGTTTGCCCTTTTTGTTTGGATTGCTGTGTACATTTTGCTTTCTTTGTGTGATCTTGGACTGGTTTGTGGTTTTGCTCTCGATGTCCCTCTTGTCTTAGTTATCTTACTCTTTGGTACTCACTGTAGCCTGTTCTGACTATGCTCTTTGTAACACTCCCAAGCTATCAAGCTAAACTTAAACCTTGTCTTTTTATCTGTGCTTGTTTGGTGACACTCTGTTGCACTTTGTATATTTTGTTTCTGCCATTTTGTTTATTACCCAAACCTAACCACCAGTCTTCACTGATTTTATAGATTTATATATGCTTCTTTTTGTTGCCGTGACAACAAAAACTCCTATCTCCAAAATTGTAACTTAACTTGAAAAATGAAGATACAAGGTTTTGCTCTCTGACAGCAAAAACATTTATACAGTCGTTTGCAAAAGTTTGGACACTCCAGTCAAACGACATGTTGATTTTCAAAGTGAAACTCGAAGGTTGCACATCTTCTTCACACACCTTTTTTTTTGCTGAATTTAAAATTCAAAAAAATTATATTTGGCCAGCACAAAAGTTATGTCACATTTTTTTGTCACATGTCAGACAAAGTCCTGATAGCTGTTATCAGCTCAGTGTGTAATAGATATCAGACGCTCTGTTTACATGTGGGCTGAGAGTCTGAGAGTGAGGCTGGGTCATAAAAATGAATCAGTCACAGCGTCTCTCTAACCTCTAGCTCTCTCCATTTATGTCCATTTCTCCCAAAAGTGGTAAGGTGTGAAGGGGGCCTAAATGCATAGCTTTACTTGTGATCTTACAGAAGCTTTCGCTTCATCATTAATAATTTTAAAAAGAATTGCAGTTAGTATTTTAATATATTGTACATAAATCAGTGCTTTTTCCCATTGTACTTCTTCGTCGCGTTTACCTGTCTTGAAGCGCACATACAGTCGTGAGATCCTGCTCAACATTGGCAGAACCTCATTTTTCAGTCTAAATTGCACTACTGTTTATATTTGCACTATGTATACCCACAGACCTTAATCTGTATGTGCCTCATGTCACTTTAGTGTTAATTTCAGGACCTTCTATATTTATATATATATTTTTTGACCTCATTATTCTACATTTTTCTACAATTAGTGTTTATTTTTATGATTAGTGTTGTGTTTTTTTAGTGTCTATTTAAATTCACACTTTTCCTGTTTACTTTCTATTTAAGGTTATTGCTACACTATGGGGTCTGAGAGTAACGCAATTTCAATACTCTTTATGTCCTGTACGTATTGTAGTATTGACAATAAAGCTGACTTGACTTGACTTGACTTGACATTGGAGCTTCATGAATGTTGGGCTGGTGTTCATAAATTCAAGTTTTCTGGGGCTGAGAAAGACAAAGTAGATACAGTTGTAGTTGCTGTTAAAACACTGAAGAGAGAGGAAAGATCAGAAACAGAGAAGGTCTCATAGGAAAAGAGGAAAGGAGAATTCTTACTGTACAATCTTGCTTTTAGCTGTACTTTTTCAGCTAACTAAGAAATCCTGCTTTATGAAATAATGGCAGTAATAATAAGTTATATACATATTAAGTTTAAGTAATATCTGTGGATCATTTGGGATATTTGTGATGTTACTTGTGATAACACACAACCTCAAGTGTTACTGCTTTTAAGCAAAGGTTTTGTGAACCAAATTAATTTTACTTCAGTATATTGAGCCCTAAAATATTATTTCATATGTGCTTAAATATCAGGCTTTAACCAGAGAAGTACCATCCTTTTCAGTTATGGATATGACAGTAAAGAAGGTTTTATATTAGACATTTGCTGGATATTCAACTTTCTCAGAATATGTTAAAAAAATGATCAAACTTACATGTTCTCATTCCTGAGAGCAAGCTACAATGTTTCGAAAAAGCAGATCACTGGCACTTTAGTTATTAATAGATCATCTAAACCAGAAATGTCAAACCGAGGATCTTCCAGGCCAAAGTGCTGTGGAGATCAGCGTTTGCCCTCGTCTAAAGCTCTGAATTCAGTTCCTAAAGGCCTTGCTAATTAGCTGATGAGTTGAATCAGGTGTGCTTAGTAAGGCAGTGAGCTGAAGTCTGCAATGTTTTATCCCACTAGGACTGGAGTCTGACACGTGATCAAAACAGTGCAAAACATAGTGAACAGAGGGGCATCCTCTAAGCTGACTATAAATCCCAGTCAACTGAAACCACTCTGTTCATGTGATTTTGCCTTATTTTAGCTAAATATGGGGGAAATAAAACTTGATAAGACGTGCTGCTGATCTACATTTCTAAACGATTATGTTCAATGACATTTAACAAAGGACACTTCTGAAATATGTCTGATTATAGTTTGTTGGCTTTATTCTCAGGAGTGAGAACATGTAAGTCATTTTTACATGTTTATTTCATGAGAAATTGAGCAAAGTTGAATATCCAACAAATGTGCAATATAAACGTACTCTCCTGCACTGCCACAGACGGACCAAAAAATAATCCGAGAGATCAAGATTTCTGCATTTATCTGATTATTCAAATGGTAATATAAAGAGCATACTTTGATTTCTTAGATTGGAGTAAGGACTAGAAATCTGATTAACAAATCTGAAAAAGAGAGCTGGATTTTAGCTCAGTAATCAGATTTCTCAGTCTGTGGATATGCATAGCAGACTGCTGTACTGGAAATAAGCAAGCAGCGTTGCCAAGAGATGCAGCAAGACACTGAAACCAAATACATGCTTGACGAAATGAAGGATTTGAATATTCTTCATCTTCTACATGATGTATGTTCATTTTTTTCAGGTTAGGCGGCGCAATGTTTAAAAAAAGCTGTCATTAAGTTTGAGTTTTACATTACGTTCATGTCTTCTTCTGTGAGTTTATTGGCTGGTTGTAAAGCAGAAATCTGATTACTGTCTGACTCATGTAGACCTGGAGTTTCCCCATTATCTGAATACTGATGAGCATGTAAACATGTTGATTGTATTACTGACACAATCTGATTTTCTACACTTATTGGATTATTAAGTGCATGCAAACAGTGTCAGAATCTCAGGTTCAGCTCAGCTTTTTCAGTACTTCAGTACTTGCCAGATTAAGCTCATTGTCGTGTTCAGTCAGTCTGTAAAGGATTTCACAGCCCATTCTATTAAATTTTGGCTAATTCCAGTGTGTTTAGTTGCTGTCATCACAGTAGAAGTGTACTTCTGTAAACTGTAAACCAGTCTGAGCAACCAGTGCTCAGTGGGATTGATAGTTATTGTGAAAATTAAACATGCTGTTATGACAAATAAGAACACAGTAGAACACTTTTCAGACTGTGGTATCAGAACTGACTGTTGTCTAAATACTATACCTAAAATAATATAAGTAAAATACTATAAAATAACTATGTTTTTGCCAAATAACATGTAAGTATATTTTTAGAATGTCCTCTTTCTAATTGAACAGAATCTTAATAGAATCTACAGAATATGAACACAGTTTATACTCACCAGCTTTCCACTTCAGGATAAAGACCAGCACAGCCACAATCAAAACTGCAACTGGTACTCCAATAGCCAACCCCAGACTGACCTGGGAGTGAGGACGCTCTGTAGACAGAAAAGTGATCAGAGTTACATTTTTATAAACGACAAGAAATAGCTTTGGAAACAGTTATCAAATTGGAAAACAGAACTGCAACAACAACAGCAGATATAACTCTGAATATAATGTATGGCGTCCTCATCTACCCTTCACCTGTAGTGGAATCTTATTTTGTTCGACCTGACTGTATTATGCTACTGAAATCATTTAGTGTTAAAAATGAACCATTTCTGTTGTTTGGTGTCCCTGTTTCTGTGTCGGACAAAGTCAAATCCAAGCCTAGCATAGCCCAGCACAGCACCTGGTTTTGTAATGCATCTTTACTGAACAGACACCTTCAAAACATTACAGCCCAAGACCTGATCTGACTGATTAGTTTAACTGTACAGCATCCTTTCCATCCCATAAAATTACAAAGTTTACATGATTTGACAAGTTGCAGTTTGAGGAGACACACCAGCATGCGCACACACACACACACACACACACACACACACACATATTTTCTATATGGGGGCAGTCATGGGCTGGAGGTTAGGGAACCAGCCTTGTGACCGTGAGTCGACAGTACGTGACTGAAGTTCTCTTGAGCAAGGCGCCTAACCCCCAACTGCTCCCTAGGTGTGCATTCACTAGTGTGTATGTGGTGTTCACTGCACAAATGGGTCAAAATGTGGAGGTGAAATGTGGGACTAATAAGGGTCACTTAATAATAATATAATAACATAATGTAATATAATATAATAAGTTATAGTACAACCCTGTTTCCAAAAAAGCTGGGAGGCTGTGCAAAATGTAAATTAAAACAAAATGCAATGATGCAAAAACCATTTAAACCTCAACAGTTTGGGATTTTCATTTAATAATAAACCTAATATGGGTGACAGATCTGGACTACAGAGCAATGCTGTTGTAATACATGCAGAATGTGGTTTGACATTGTCTTGCTGAAATAATCAGCATCAATGGTGCCCTCAAAGATGTGCACATCACCCATACCATGTGCACTAATGCACCCCTCTATACCATCATGAATACTGGCTTTTGAACTGTGCACTGATAACAAGCTGAGTGGTCTTTAGCCCGGAGGACACAGTGTCCATGATTTCCAAAAAGAATTTCAAATTTAGATTTATTGGACCACAGGACACTTTTCCACTTCCCCTCAGTCCATTTTAAATGAGTTCAGGCCCAGAGAAGGTGGCAGCATTTCTGGATCCTGTTTATATTTGGTTTCTTCTTTGTGTTTTAGAGTTTTAACTTGCAGTTGTGGATGCAGTGATGAACTGTGCTCACAGACAAAGGCTTTCAGAAGTGTTTCTGTGCCCATGCAGTGATTTCCACTACAGAATCATGTCTGTTTTTAATGCAGTGCTGCCTGAGGGCCCAAAGATCACAGCCAGCAAATACTGCAGAGATTTCTCCAGATTCTCTAAAGATTTTAATGATATTATGTAGTGTAGATTATGAGTTCTTTGCTATTTTATGTTGAGAAACATTATTCTTGAATTGTTGCACTATTTGATCATGCAGTCTTTCACAGAGTGTTGAACCCCTCCTCATCTTTACTTCTGAAAGACTCAGCCTCTGACAACTTTACACAACTTTACCAGTCTTTTGTTGCTCCGTCACAACTTTTTTGAAAAGTGTCGCTGGCATCAAATTCAAAACAGGCATATATGTTTAAAAAATCAGATTGAAATTTCTCTGTTTCAATATTTGATATGTTGTCAATGAAATATAGTGTTTAAATGATTTTCACATCATTCCATTCTGTCTCTCCAAAACGGGGTTGTAATATCAGTGTTGATTCTGTTAATAGAAATGACTATCTTTGTGCTAAATAGTGGAACTCCTGGAACTGACAAAGATGAACAAAATTGACAGAATTAAAAACAAAACAATCAATTCACTTCATATTAACACCTCACTATCTCAATAAAATCTGACAAAGCAAAAATGTATTTATTAAAATACAGTTAGTTTTTAGTTTAGTTAATTAGCAGAAGCATATTTGTTTTCATGTGCAGAACGGTACTGGGAAAGATTTGTTTATATATTTAGGAAATTATTTATATATAAAATGATTGAAAAGTCTGAACCACCCCCTGGATGTGATCACTTGTAACGTGGATATCTCTCAACATCCACCCCCTGAATTCGCTTGTAGCGGGGATATCTCTTGACATCCATCCCCTGGATGCGATTGCTTGTAATGGGGATATCTCTCAACATGCATATAACTGAAAAAACAGAATGTAGAATGATTAACGATCTGCTAGACATGCCAAGAATCACAGATCTAATTACCCCATTTTTTTATCACTGGTTCTCTGAGGGAACTGTGAGTCACATAACAGTCGTATTCTGCTGTATCGTCTTCCTGGATGTCCACACTCTTCCTCATCTGGTAGGTTTCATCATCATTGGGTCTGACTCCTGAAGATGTCAGTAGGTGTTCAGGCAGTGAAGTGCGGAACTTCCTCAGTTTAATCTCCACGTCTTTGGGGTAGAAGCCTGTGGCCATGCAGGTCAGGGTCAGCTTAGTTGAGTCAGTTGCACATTTCTTCACAAACATATGAACATCCGGGGGAGCTACAGACAACAGAAATGAAAATACACGTTTATTTCACAGTATGTTTTTACCAGATTTTTCCCTAAAGTGATTCATAACCATTTCCCACCTTCTGCAGCTAACAGTCTGTAAGTGTAAGGGCTAACACATGTCCATCTATGACATCAAATAACCCATGACTATACCTCTCACACAAGTGCTTAAAACAGGTGAATGTGTTTGAGGGACAGATCTTTTTCACCACAGCCTTTCAGTGGTGTGCACCCTTCAACAGCAAATGTCGACATATTGACTCATGGTCGGGTTCATTCAGGAGACAACTGTCTAAGTACACAGCGACTCCCGAGACAACAGCTATCCAATTCGGAGGACAGCAGTAAGTCAGCTGTTTTCTATGGTACCTTATTTTGACCATATTTAAATTTGGTCATCGCATGCCTCACACATATCCTTCTCAAAGAACTCAGAGTTCCATTGCTTCAGTTTTAAAAACATGGTGGACGGAGTGGTGATTTCTTCTGATTCTTGTTTTTGTAGATCATTAGAAATGGTTCCTGTGGTTATATTTAGATAGCTTGTGTGTCTAAAGTTATCTGACAGACGCTGATGTGTGCTGGATGAGGAGCTGAGGAAGATGAGTTTTCACAGAGAGAAAACAGTGCTGAATGGTTGAACGTAGCTCACGTTTCCAGCATATGAGAGGAAGGACACAGTAGGAACCAACACTACAGACTGATGTCCTGACCTATGAAAACAGTGTAACTTACTGGATGATGTAGAAGTTCTGAATTAAAATGTTTCAGTGACACTTTGATGAAACAAACAGACTCTCAGTAATGTGTCAAAAACATATGAGGGTTAGGATTTGGATTGAGGTTAAGGTTGGGGTTAAGATTAGGGCCAGGGTTAGGATTAGGATTAGGTTTTGGGTTGGGGTTAAGGTTGGGGTTAGGATTAGGGCCAGGGTGAAGGATAGGATTAGGTTTTGGATTGAGGTTAAGGTTGGGGTTAAGATTAGGGCCAGGGTTTGGATTAGGACCAGGGTTAGGATTAGGATTAGGTTTTGGGTTGAGGTTAAGGTTTGAGTTAGGATTAGGGCCAGGGTGAGAGTTAGGATTAGGATTAGGGCCAGGGTGAGGGTTAGGATTAGGTTTTAGGTTGAGGTTAAGATTAGGGTTAGGATTAGGGCCAGGGTGAGGGCTAGGATTAGGTTTTGGGTTGAGGTTAATGTTAGGGATGAGGTTAAGGTTAGGGTTAGGATTAGGTCCAGGGTTAGGATTAGGTTTTGGGTTGAGGTTAATGTTAAGGTTAGAATTAGGTTAGGGTTATGGCAATTATGCAAATACTTACTCTGTTTGGTTTCAGTAATGTTGTAGTGCAAATAAAGCCTCAGCCAGAGTGCACATTGTTTACATATCCATTCAGCATTTTCACTATTCCAGTCCTCCATCTCACTGATATCATTTACTGAAAATGACCATTCCTTCAAGAACCAGTTATAATATCGTACACTCTCTCCATCGTAGGCATATTCATTAATGCAATTTGATATGGGAACTGAGCCATCAGAATGTTTTTCACCCTCACAGCCAAATCTCCATTGAACAATGTGACCATCTGAAATATAAATGAACAGAGACTGTCATAAATCATCAGACACATTTACATATTATGTATTAACAGAACTGTAAAATGAGACTGTTTTGCTCATATTTGCAAGTAAGAATGTCACACTTTGTGATAGCGAGGTTGGCTGTGCCCATGTGGGCCCAGTGAAAGCTTCACAGTTGTCTTCAGTTGTAGTATGTATGACGTTAAGGAATTAAATTGTCCTTAATGCTGTCATATTAAAGTCACTTAAATGTTGCTATGACATTAGCTCTATGTATGTCTTTAGTACTGGTAGATCAATATCATTTCAATGTATTGAATAATTTCAGTAGTGAAATACCAACAACTGTTGTTTAATAAAAGCAAAAATGTACTTTTTAAATGTATTGTGCTATTAATAATAATATTATGAAAATATTAATTAATAATATTAATAAATTAATAATATTTGGGGAAATTAAAAGATTGAAAGTTAATGATCTTAATATGATACTGATTAGCCTTTAAATGTTGCCCGAATCTTTAAGAACCTAAATAATAGTTAATAATAGTTAAAGGAAAAAGAAAGTTTAAAAACACTAAATGCTGAATGAGTTGAATCATTAAAAACTTCTTCTTATTAAACTTCTCATAATATGTGTTATCCATGTGACAATTTAAAGAGGCAAACAGCAAATGGAGAAGACTTAAACAAGCTAAAAGAAAGACACTTTGCTGAGTTTATATTCACTCTACAGCTAGCCTTGTTAACTTAAGCTAGCCAGCGCTAGCTATGTTTGTTAACTGATAAACTGACAATTGAAGAATTTGGTTCTTTCACTGAATAACTATGATAAACATGGTTTGTGGTCATAAAAAGGAAAAGTACGATTTTAGCTATGCTTATATTTTGTTGTCTATTTTTACCTTTCACTGCATTCCATAATTTGCAATTACTAATTTAAACTTTTCCACTTTAAATGGTGCAGCAGTTTCATTTTGGCACATGTATGGGCACCAGAATGTAACTGCTGCATCATTTAAGGTGGAATGGAAAGTCAAGGTTACTCCCAGTTGAGTGAGTTACCTCAGTAATCTGACCTCTTACACTGATAAAGAGTGTAAGAAAAATTTGGGGTCACATAACTTCTGGCTTTATTTGAATATTCTTGTGAATAATATCAAGTCATATATCTTTAGGATTATTGAGATGTTTTGATATTGAGATTTTTTGATGGTTTTCATTTTCAGTTTCATCAATTTCAAATTTTAATACATCTCATGTATTTCAGTCCATCTTAAATGAGCTCGGGCCCAGAGAATGTGGCAGTGTTTCTGGATCCTGTTAATATTCACAGACAGTGTTTTTCAGAAGTGTTTCTGAGCCCATGCAGTGATTTCCACTACAGAATGATGTCTGTTTTTAATGCAGTGCCATCTGAGGGCCCAAAGACCACAGCCAGCAAATACTGGTTTTTGGCCTTGTCCCTTACATACAGAGATTTCTCCAGATTCTCTGAATCATATACCATAGATGGTGAAATCCTCAAGTTCTTTGCTATTTTACATTGAGAAACGTTTTGAGGAGGTGGTGAACCCCTCCTCATCTTTACTTCTGAAAGACTTTTTTTCTGGCATTACACAACTTTACCAGTCTTTTGTTTCCCCCATCCCAACTTTTTGGAAACGTGTTGCTGATATCAAATATTAAAAAAAAAAACAATAAGATTTCTCAGTTTCAACATTTGATATGTTGTCTGTGTACTATTTTCACTGCAATATAGGGTTTAAATGATATGTATATCATTGTATTTTGTTTTTATATACATTTTGCACAGCCTCCCAACTTTTTTGGAAACAGGGTTGTAGAACTATACTATTCAGAATATAAATGTAAATCTAGCAACCTCATTCTTTTCATCTTAAAATGAAAAGAGTGTTCTCACCTGATCTGTTGTGTCTGAAATACTGTGTCAGGTTGTTGAGAACCACATTTAACTCTTCCCCATCGTGCTTCAGCTCATCAGTGCCTGCTTTCCATTCACTGCTTGTAATCTCCTTCATCCAGTCCTGTTTAGGAGTCCTGACCCCGTCTGTACTGCTGTAGGAGTCAATCTGTCTGTCATCCAGCAGAGTCACTGCACTGAACTCAGAGACTCTGTCTGAAGAGCTTTTGGACTGGATAAAGCAGAGGTAACGCAGAGAGTGTTTATCTGTGGAGAAACAGAGAAATGAACAGACTGGACAGTGTAGAGTGGAAGTGCAAATGCTGACCATATGAAAGGCCAAGCTGATTTAGGCCAGGCTAAAATATGATACTGACCTATGCTGACTTATGCTATGCTGCTACTATACACAAATTATTTTGCTTGCCAAAGAAACGCAGCTCTAGCATGTTTAACAGAGTTGGTCTTTTATTTTAACAGGAGGCATATGCGTAAAAATGTGATTGTGTAGGTTGACCAATGGCACGCCACTAGCACTTTATTCTCGTCCATGCTTACCAATGAAATTGATACACTGTGTGTTGCTTTAGTAGAGACAAAGGAACTCGGGCTAAAGTCTTGTTCCTGAAGTGTTCTTGTCTTTGTTGTTTTCTCTTTTTTTTCTTAGTCAGTTTGGTGCATGAACCAACATGTTAACATGTAGATTTAGGACACATTCATGTGTCCTAAATCTACTGTCTTCCTGTTTTTTTTTTGTTTTCTGGTTATAATAAGAATTCATTTGGCCCTTACACACATGGACTCCAGACATTCAAATAAACACTTTCCCATCAGTTGTCCAGTAAGAAACATAAGTGTATATAATGCTCTGCTTCATCTCATCTGCTAACGTAAGAATAGCTGAAATCTAAATTAGATTAATCCTTGTTTTCACTGAGCGTGCTGTTGGCCTGCACTGATGGCCCTGATGGGATGATTGACAGGTTGGAATGATCTTTTCAGATTCTATAACTAACAATACCTATTTAATGTTAACTGTAGTTTACTCTCCGATTTCCACTCAGCAGAGTTTACTGATGGGAATATTTTCTTCCTTTGGGTTTAAGTAACGGAGCAGGAAGTAAGTACTTCCGAAACAAAGCACTCATCTCTGAGATCGAGAGTAGAAACTAACAGTCCACACAGTAAACTGATACAGACTCTCTTCACCGCTCCCATCATTACCTTTTCTAATTTAGTCCAGCAAAAAAACACTACAGACGATCCTTTGTTGTTTTTTCTGGTCCTGCTCGGATTTGACTGAGTGCAAATTCCTATGCACACCTCAACACACCTAGCACAAGTACTTCCTGAATGGGGTGCGAGGCAGAAAGCACTCATCTGGAGCATTAACCCACAGTGAGAAAAAAGAGAGAACATAATAGGGGCAATTGCAATGTCATTATCTTAGCTGTGGTTTGAGTTTAAACCTTAAACTCCATTGCTGTGGCCTTGGAAGCTGCAGCATAAACCCAATTAGTGTGTTTTTATTGGTTGCTAAGTGTATTTTCAGCTCAGATGTTTTAATATTCCATTCCTAGGCCCTTATACCTTCCATCATAATGCTTTATGCATATGCTATATGCTGCATATGCTATACTGCTTAATTATACACACTGAGGTACCATAATCAACTGGAGGAAGGTCAAATTGCTACGACACTAGTTAGGCCAAACAATTAAAATCATTTGCAATAACTTCTAAGTGGAATGAATTGCCAGCAGTATCTTCAACTTGAGGTCTGTGTGCAGTATTAAAGTGGACCAGCTGTGCAGCTCAGTGGGACACAGGGCTAATCCCAGTCGGCTGCCAAATCATGGATCATAAGATTCACGTCAGCTAATCATTTGAAAACTATATAGATCTTTAAGGGAGTGGCTACACGGTTGATATGTGTTTAAATTGTAATGTGAAAAAAAGATGCATGCATAGACATTGTGTCATTTCCGTTGGGGCTTTTTGGGCGTGGGCGTGTTATGTGTTTGTGTTTTATTGTGCTGGACTGTGGGTTTAGTTAGAGTAAGCTTTGTGTCTACCATAGAGAGAAGACATATGACTGTAAGTGACCGTTTTTCAGTTACTAGTGATGGACATTCGGGCTCTGTTCACATGGAAGAGCCAACTTTTTTGGTTCCCAAATGGCTCTTCATTCAGTTGCAGTTTCCCCCAAAATTAGCCACGTTAGCAATATTATATATCACTTTATTTTCAATAAATCTTGAATCTACCTTCAAAATATCATACCAGCTACCTTTATCAGTTACCTTTTCTGCTTAAATAAAAATTTTCCCTGACCAGAAATTATGGCATTCTCTGGTTCTTCTCCACCACAACACCACAATAGATTGTTATTGTGTTTATTTATGTTTTGATCTTTGTATTTAACAAAAACAAAAAAAAAAAAAACTTTTTTAAACACTCTGTATGGTGAAATTTCAGACTTTCGTGTGCAATTTAGTTCTGTCAAAAATATTATTATATCAATACATATTAGTTCAGAACAATTGTAACAGTTTTAAGAATTCTTTCCCACAGTATCAATTCTGTCTGCATTTTCCTTTCCTTGTTCTGTCTTTCATTTGACACACATAGGCTACCATACATACACTTCATCTGCACATGGAGCTGCAGCCCTGCCTACTCTCAATAACAGTGCAGCATGTGTTGCTAAAATGGAATCTGAGCTGGTGAAAAAAAAACATAAAGCAGAGCTGCCTGGACATGCTTTGGATTCGTGAGCTTTGATAACCATAAAACAAATGTTTCTAAAATGTTTGAAATTTTGCTTATTTAATTTAATTGAGTTTTGAATGTCTCAATCTAAAAGTGAGATTTTGAGCATGAAAAATGGTAGTTGTCAAAAAAAAAAAAAAAACACGTTTACTGGCTATGTGTTTGGATGTGTTAAAAAAGATCTTCAGTTCTTTGGTATTGAAAATGGTATCAGATATTTATACTTTTAAAGTTTTGTACTGAAGTTGGAAATTTCAGTAGGAATTAGTGAAATAAGTATTGACCGATAAACTTGAAAACTTCTAAATGACAAAAGGTCCATGCTGTGTTTTGTTTTAGTTGGGCTGATCCTGAAGTAATTTGATGGTACATCCGGTGGAAGTGGATCAGGTAGACTGGTGCTTGTTTTAACAGAAGAATCAGGTACATATTTAACACACAGCTGCATGTTAAACCCCTGGACAAACTAGTTTCACTGCACCTGTGTAATTAGACTGCTGCTACTCTTCCTCTTTTACCTTCAACTGTTCCAAGTGTGGTAGGTTGGGTCATAGATATACGTACATAGATGCCACATTGGATTATACCAGGTACATCAGTGGTACTGCCATTGGTTTCCTAATGGGATCTAAAGTAGTGGTCACTTTTGGAAACCATAAAGCCAATTCTCACATTAGAAAGCAAAATCATTAGGTTTTATTCCTAAAGGTTTCTAATGGTCATTTTAGCAAGAGATTCAATTTTCAAAAACATGCAGAATTGTCTGGGGATTATAACATAAACAAAGTTGGTGAATATCAGTTGAGTAATCAGCAAATAATAAAATAAAATATATATTTTCCTAATGAGATCTAAAGGTAAAGCTATAGGATGCTAGTGGTCTCTACTGGAAACCATTAAGCCAATTCCAATTAGAAAGCAAAACAATTATGTTTTAATCCTAATGGTTTCTAATAGTCCTTTTAAGCAGGGCTGGGGTAGCAGGTAGGCCACTTCCAACCATACATGATCTCTTTAGGGTAGGAACCTATACTGACAACAGCTACCCCAACTAGCCCAGCAGAGCATTGCACCAATAACACGTGCACATCTTAGACTAAACAACAACAACATGAACATTAACTCTCTATCCTTTCCAGGAGCTCGACACGTCCTGGGAGGCTCTTCACATGGCCAGAAAGAGTCAAATCTCCTGAAACATGGCATGTATAAGTGGCAACAGAACTTATGAAGCTTTAAAACTCTGGAAAAAAGCTTGAGCTTACAAATATTTTTTACCAGGTAACAATGTAAATGTACTGGCATGTTTTTCACATGTGCTTTCTATGGAGGCCTATAGGGGGGGCTTCAAGCTTTGTTCTTGTTTTTTGTTCAAGTTGTAGAGAAATCATTCACCACTCCTCTTTTCTGCTGTAGTCTCACTTTATAAGTGTCTAAAAACTGTGTAGTTGCACATGAATAACATATGCAACAATACTAAGTACTGATGACTTAGCCAATGTTACAGATGGATTACAGAAGTACAGCCTATGTAATTACAAATGTGTATCAACTTCAGTTTTGCCTGATATAATTAAACATCTTTTTGATACACTACAGATCAGAAGTGTTTTCCGGCAGTTAAAGGAAGTATGGGTAACACTTTCTATAAATGTCATGTTTATAAGCATCTATAAACACATTTATAACATGTTAATGCATTCACAAGGCATTATAAACATGGTTACAAAGATTTATACAAATGAATTATACTAAATTACACTTTATAGCCATGTTTATTATGCATTATGAATTGTTAATATAATGCACTATAAATGGTGTTAATAACATAACATACTGTCAGTGCCAAAGAAGTCAGTCCCAGCTTGGAGAGCATAAAGACAAATACAGAGTTTATTTAAGCCCTGAGATTTCCAGTATTTTATTTCTCAGTGCTGGTGCTGTTAGAGCTGCATCTTCAGGGCTTCAGTCCTGAATATTCAGATGCTCCAAACTGGCTGTCCAGCCTAGAAATACTGCTACACTGTGCTATTCTTACCCAGCGCTCTCACTTTAAATGTTACATTACATCACAGCAAACCAAGTACCCATCAGCCCCTCCCCTGAACCCCCTCTGACATCACACTGAGCGTGAAGTCACTGTGGACTGAAGGTCTGGAGAGGGGGAGGCGAGATAGTAGAGCGCTGTCATTGTAGTTTATTCCCTCACTGGTTCTAACGTCAAGCACTAGAACCCTTCACTCTGTAACACTACACTGCACTACAGTAATGCTAGTTTCTGTTAGCATTCTATTGGATATGCAGTGTTAAGTGAGTGCCAAGCTAACGGTGGTGTACATTGACTTTCCCACATTGGGTAAAACACTGATGCAGCTCTAGTTTAAACTCTGACATTTGAAGCCTGTAATGTGGTTTATTGTGAATGTTTTAATGTTTCAGTAAATCCTTCAGTAAATACTTCAACTTGTAGCCTCACTCTTAACACTGGAGGAGGC